GAGGAGGAGGAGGAGGAGGAGGGAGGAAGAGGAAACCACTAGTACTGGAACAGCTAGGGGTGATTTGTCTGTCTCACTCATAAATACAGAACAAGATGAAGGCAACATCTGAGGAAGATTGGGATAACTGCTGTAGTCACAAAATTATTATGTTATGATTAAATGCAAGCAGGAACATAAACTTTGTATATTGTGTCAGGCTCCACTTGGTGGAGTTCCAAGTAGAACTTTAAAAACAAAGTAGATCCACAAACTATTAGTATATTATCACTTCACTTCTTTGCCCTGCACTCTCAGTTTTAGTAACCTTTAAATATTTGCATACAGATTCACTGGTCTAGGGGTTTCAGTAGCAGGGTTCATGTGGTGTTACTAGTTAAGAGCCCTCTTATGACAGTCAAACCTGGTTATATCCATGTGAAAGTTGATGTAGAATTGTATGATGCATGTTGTTTACTCAAGTCTGCTCATAACACTGAACCCCCTAGATACCCTGGACAGGTTACTATCTATCAGGTTCAGTTACATCCTCTTAAAGCTAAACCACTGGGTTCTGGCCCACACTCCTAGAGCCAGAAAGCTCCAAATTTAGCACCAGACACAGTTTTTAAAAAGAGAAAAGGGCCTGTTGTGCCCTGTCTCCTTCTACTTCTCCTGCTTTCTCCTCTCCTAGGGAGCTTCTGAAGAAATGGAGGTAACTGATACAACTGCAGCATTGCTGTATCATAACCCAAACTCCTTTAATGATGAAGAAATACCAGGCACATGGGGGAGTGAAGGTGGGAAAAAATTGGAGAAGGAATCATTTGGAAAGTAGGAGTGGGAGAGAAACTGGGGCCTGGGATCAGAGCAAATGGGCATCTTGCTTGTGTAGGCCTTCAATTATGGCATCACTGAGTATGCGCTATTATGAAAAACATGTTATCAAATGGATTTAGTACTTACTGCTAGTGTAGCAGTGAATCTAGTGTAGCTGAGGTGGTGATGGTGATGATGTTGGGTCTCTAATGTTGGTAGCCATTCATATCTGGATTCTCAAAGTGTTTGTCCAAATCTCCTCTTGTTATTCATAGAATTAATGAACATAAATTATTGTTTAAAGTTACTAAAATCCCATAAATCTGACGGCTGTTGAAATAATACCTCAGAGTCATTGACGTTCTATTATTTCTTTTAAAAACTCAAGTGTTAAATTTTGGGGTATAAATTTCAGAGTGCAAACTAGTTTCAAACCTCCAGCAAGAATCCTTTTTCTAATTTTATTCCAGTTCCTAGCAATTTGTACTCACACCATTAAACTCAATAATATACAGTAAAAGTAAAATATTGACAACCATATTTTCTAGGAAGCCCTTGTGATTTAACTTAAAGAAACAGAAATAAGTATATGTCAGAAATGCGTTAGACAGATTTCAATCAAATTTAGACCTTTTGAGTGGATTGTGTACCACTAAAGTTCACAAGATAGCAATGTGTTGCCCTAAGGTGCCAGAATACTCTTTGCTGTTTTTACTGTAAAAGACGAAAATGATTACCTCTCTGCAAATGTTTAAATCCCAGATTCAGCAGGAAATAATTAAGCACTTGCTTGAGATTCCCACTGAAATTACTTTACTGTGCTCATCTTCTGCTGAATCCTTGGGGATGTTCATTTCTATATTTCGAAATGGAAATTTCATTTTATTAAAGAATTTATAGTCATAGACACCTCCCCAAACCATTCATTTCAATTATCAGAATTTGTAATCTTACACTATGTGGAGTAATAAAGCTCATGTTAGTATTTGCACTAGCCATAAATATTACTTAATTTATCCCTACCCCAGCATTCATTAGCCACAGCTTATGATACAGATGAGCAGCAAAAAATACAGCTCTCTGGGACAGCCTATAGAACCTGGTATCATCTGTCCAAAGAAGAGAATCCAAATCTAACCTTTACTCACACAGGAAAGATGTTTCCATAAAGAGTGCTCAAGTAAGCTTTTCTTCTTACCTGTGAAACAAAGCTTTTAGTAAAGCTGTATAACCTGTTTTTAACCATAGATAAAGACTTAATTTCCTTGAGGAAGTGTGAAGTACAGTATAGTAACCCCGTCAAGATCAACAGCTACTGCTAGGCATAGCGTGGCTGGAGATTTTACAGCAGTAATTAAAGGTTTCTCAGTGCCTTGGGAAGAGCCAAGAGGTAACTCACAGTTAGAGAGCTATTGTTGGTGTTTAGCACTTCGGGTTAAAAGGTTCATTTTATAGCTCTCTTTACATCTGCTGGATTGTCTCCTTTCTCACATTCAAACTCACCTTTTCTCACTCTTACATGCTGCCTAACTGCAGTTATTCAATAAAGAAGGGATTAAATTGTATTTCTTCTTGCAATTACTGGAAGCAAGAAATAGCTTCCATTTGTGATAGGAAAGATAGGAGACCAGGTCTCTTCTGGTCAGGAAGGGGTTACTGAAGGTGAAGGAACTGGTGAGGTGGAAGAGGCAGACGAAATAGGCCCATTTACAACCTGTTCCTTGACCATTTCATTCCAATGCATTCCATACATGACTTACTTTGAAGTAAATAGATATATGATTGCAATTTACATTTCTGCCTGACACTGCATACCAACTTTGGATTTGAGTGAAATTGTGGGATTTATGCTAAATCTAAAAGTGTACACTCTATTCACTCTCAATCCAGCAAATGTTCCACCTGAAAGGAGCAGGCACATCATTCTTCTCACTGGGAGGTCATGAGAACTGCTTTACTGCTGAGTCAATTCAAGGCTCCCCTAGCTCGGCATTCTGCCCCACAGAAGCTCAAAAAACTTCATAGATTTACCCAGGGTTCTTCCTGGAAATCAAGGGAGGAAGAAACATTTCTCTTTATTCCCCTCACTTCGTGGCCTCTTCCTGGCTCCTTCCAGACCCAAATACTCCACTCTGTTTTGAACAGGGAAAAAGGCCCTTTCTTTGAGAGGCAACTGATCCATCCTTTTGATCATTTTTGTTGCCTTTCTTTCTTCTTCTTTCTGGGGTTTTCTGATGCTTTTCTCAAAATTTATTTATTTTGATGGATCAGCAGAATTATGCAATGTAGTCTATAGATGCAGGGCATGTCATACTTACCATTTTATTTTTAATCCCTTTATTAATAATCTGTAACACTAAGATACTTTTTTATTCAATGAGATCTGAGCATTCTGTCCCATCAGCATATGCATAGTGATGGAGATAGACATGAAGCTGCACTGACAAAGATGAACTCAGGCTGCTGATCGGTTTTTAATGGGAAGGAGAGTGCACTTAAAGACACATCATCACAATCCCTGTTAACCTCACAATGACAAGGCAGGAGTTGGGAAGCCCCTTTACATGGATTAGTTATCCTTTATACACCTGCTGGACTTGAAATGGGACTCGTTATAGAGTTAAGGAGTGTTGAAATGGGACTCGTTATAGAGTTAAGGAGTGGTGGCCCCTAAGATTCTAGTGCCAGCCTATGTAGGGCAGGGAGAGATCAGTTTGGGTTTTGCAATGTGGTATAATTAAGTAGGGATGCTCTTAGTAGCTTTAGATTAGTGGCGCTTCTCTGAGTGCTGCATTTTGCCTCTCATTTAAGGAAGGGGTGGAATAAAATGTCCCACCAGTGTAGTTCTATGAGCAGTGGCTGTGTCTCATAATCTGTTGGTCAGATACAGCAGCCCAAGAAAAGGAGCCATATAATGTGCTGGGGGCAAGGCACTCAATTCCTGGCATCTGGTCCCAGCAGTGAGGGACCAAGGAGAAAGTGTCAACTCACCCCGTCTGAGGCTGGCACTGAAGAACCGAGACTGTCTCTCCTTCCCTCCCCGCGGCTCCCCCCCCCCCCCCCCCCCC